TTACTAATGTATATATGTATGTGTATGTGTGTGCCAGTATATATTTCGGTACACGTATATTGCTACTTATATATTCCTTTCTACTGTGTATACATTGCTTTATATAGTCAATAATAATTAATATATATATAACTAAGTCATCAGTGCGCAGCAACGTCCAAAGCAAAATAAAATTAAGAAAAATATGCAATATGATTGTCTGTTCGAATTTGCCTTGGTAGATTTGATGGTACAGACATATTGCATTAATAATTAATATTAGAGAGCTCTCAAAAATTGACTAGATAGCTTAATTGTGACGTCTAAAGCAGTCGCCCGAAGAAGGAATTGTCCAAGTCCATTTTTTTTTTCATAATGCACGAAAGATGCAGACATGACGTCAGCGAGTCAAGTCTTTTGTAAAACGTTCCAAAATATTTTTCTTTAATAAAATGACGTTGTCACTAAGTTGATTTAGAAAGGAGTTAAGCAACGTACCACAATATGATTCATTAAAGAATATTATTTTGTAAGTCGGCATCTGAAATTCTCGCGAGAGAGATAAAAATACCATGTTTTGGCAGTACACTAGACTCTTTCTTTGTTTCGATTGTTACGTGCTTTACAGATGTGATCTTACCGTTGTTATCTGAGCTTTGGAGAGAGACGTAAACAGCGCAGTGTAAATTAAATATCTAAACGAAACAGTGTTTACTCGAGGTCCTGGGTAGATCAGTATGTAGATCGATGATCTACAATTGACAATACGGTAAGCGACAGTTCCGGGTTCGAGTCCCGGTCTAGTAAATTGCTCGAAAGCTTTCTTTCCGTGCAATAGATACTCTACTAGTCGTTTATAGATTTGATTCGGTGCTTTCGTATGACTCAAGTAGTCTTTTACTACAAGTACAAGTGGCAATACAAGTGGCAATACAAGTAAAAGTAGCAATACAAGCGGCAATACAAGTTACAGTTCCGGGTTCGATTCCCGGATGTTAATTTATAGAAAGTTGCTTACGTTAGCAATGTATCTGTAACATTCTTATCGCAATTCTTATCTCGTTATTAAGTTAAACTTAAGTTATAAATTAAATTTATATTGGAATTATTATATTTATATTGTAATTTATTGTATTTATTCTAGTTATATGCAACGATATCAATGCAAATTTCGCTCATCTTTGAATTCCTCAATATATATCTTTCATTAATTATCACTCACATCTATACAAATTCCATTCATCAGAATACAAAGAGTTCAAAGTAGGGATAGTGGCAATTACAACGAAAATGAATCTGGTGCAATATACCAAGGTGCAATATACCAAGGTGCAATATACCAAGGTGCAATATACCAAGGTGCAATATACCAAGGTGCAATATACCAAGATGCAATATAGAGCTTTCAACAATTAACTGGGTAGCTTAATTGTGACATCTAAAGCAGTCGCCCGAAGTAATTATTATCCAGGCCCATTTTTTTCTTTTGTATCTCACAATAGATGCAGACGTGACGTCAGTGAGCCAAATTTCTTGTAAAATGTCTAAAAATATTTCTCTGTGTAGTTCTATGTAGCTTCTATTTCCAAACACAGAAGGTGCTACAATCTTTGTGATATTAGATAGTCTAGTGTAGATATTGCAAATAAATAGGAAAGTCAATGTTGCATTAGCTTTTATCTATATACTAATATTACTACCAGAAAAAATAGGCATTTACCCATGCTAATACTACTGATATATTGGCCAAAGTTTATTTGTCTCTTCGGATATGTCTATAGATAGATACGACTATTCTGCTGAACTTTGACCACCAGTATCTGAAAACTTCAACGGACTACTAGATAACTTAATGGAATAATCTAAAGCGAGCACCTCTCCCCTTCCAGAAAAAAATTATGTAGGCAGATATATTTTTTTAGGATATTCTTAATATATATTTTTTTCCTCAATGTTATCGTCCAAAAGATGCGGATATAATGTCAAAGGATCAAATTTTTGCCAAATATGTACGAGGTTTTCTTTTGAATAAAAATAATGCCGTCGTGCTAAGTTGACTCATAAACGAGTTGTACAACGATTCAATCTGATATATTGAGGAATATTATTTATTAAATCGGCGTTTTTCAAATTTTTAAGAGAGAGAGAGATATCGAGCTCCTGTTATATATAATAAAATATATAGTCATCCCTCTTGTCCTCAATGTTGTGTACTTCATAGTCATGATCGTAACCATAGTTACTCGACTTATAAATAATAGCATGAACACGTTGTAAGATAATTACGCAGACGGAATAGCGTCTATTCGATAGATAGATCGGTGATCTATGATCAACAATCCGGTTAGCGACAGTTCCGGGTTCGAGTCCCGGCCTAGTAAATTGCGAAAGTTCTCTTTCCATCCATTAAATTCGCTCCGTCAATTTAGTCTTTTAGTTACTAATGTATATATGTATGTGTATGTGTGTGCCAGTATATATTTCGGTACACGTATATTGCTACTTATATATTCCTTTCTACTGTGTATACATTGCTTTATATAGTCAATAATAATTAATATATATATAACTAAGTCATCAGTGCGCAGCAACGTCCAAAGCAAAATAAAATTAAGAAAAATATGCAATATGATTGTCTGTTCGAATTTGCCTTGGTAGATTTGATGGTACAGACATATTGCATTAATAATTAATATTAGAGAGCTCTCAAAAATTGACTAGATAGCTTAATTGTGACGTCTAAAGCAGTCGCCCGAAGAAGGAATTGTCCAAGTCCATTTTTTTTTTCATAATGCACGAAAGATGCAGACATGACGTCAGCGAGTCAAGTCTTTTGTAAAACGTTCCAAAATATTTTTCTTTAATAAAATGACGTTGTCACTAAGTTGATTTAGAAAGGAGTTAAGCAACGTACCACAATATGATTCATTAAAGAATATTATTTTGTAAGTCGGCATCTGAAATTCTCGCGAGAGAGATAAAAATACCATGTTTTGGCAGTACACTAGACTCTTTCTTTGTTTCGATTGTTACGTGCTTTACAGATGTGATCTTACCGTTGTTATCTGAGCTTTGGAGAGAGACGTAAACAGCGCAGTGTAAATTAAATATCTAAACGAAACAGTGTTTACTCGAGGTCCTGGGTAGATCAGTATGTAGATCGATGATCTACAATTGACAATACGGTAAGCGACAGTTCCGGGTTCGAGTCCCGGTCTAGTAAATTGCTCGAAAGCTCTCTTTCCGTGCAATAGATACTCTACTAGTCTTTTATAGATACTCTACCAGTGATAGATACTCTACTAGTCTTTTATAGATCTGATTCGGTGCTTTCGTAGGACTCAAGTAGTCTTTTACTACAAGTACAAGTGGCAATACAAGTGGCAATACAAGCGGCAATACAAGTACAAGTGGCAATACAAGCGGCAATACAAGTTACAGTTCCGAGTTCGATTCCCGGATGTTAATTTATAGAAAGTTGCTTACGTTAGCAATGTATCTGTAACATTCTTATCGCAATTCTTATCTCGTTATTAAGTTAAACTTAAGTTATAAATTATATTTATATTTTAATTATTGTATTTATATTGTAATTTATTGTATTTGTTCTAGTTATATGCAACGATATCAATGCAAATTTCGCTCATCTTTGAATTCCTCAATATATATCTTTCATTAATTATCACTCACATCTATACAAATTCCATTCATCAGAATACAAAGAGTTCAAAGTAGGGATAGTGGCAATTACAACGAAAATGATCTGGTGCAATATACCAAGGTGCAATATACCAAGGTGCAATATACCAAGGTGCAATATACCAAGATGCAATATAGAGCTTTCAACAATTAACTGGGTAGCTTAATTGTGACATCTAAAGCAGTCGCCCGAAGTAATTATTATCCAGGCCCATTTTTTTCTTTTGTATCTCACAATAGATGCAGACGTGACGTCAGTGAGCCAAATTTCTTGTAAAATGTCTAAAAATATTTCTCTGTGTAGTTCTATGTAGCTTCTATTTCCAAACACAGAAGGTGCTACAATCTTTGTGATATTAGATAGTCTAGTGTAGATATTGCAAATAAATAGGAAAGTCAATGTTGCATTAGCTTTTATCTATATACTAATATTACTACCAGAAAAAATAGGCATTTACCCATGCTAATACTACTGATATATTGGCCAAAGTTTATTTGTCTCTTCGGATATGTCTATAGATAGATACGACTATTCTGCTGAACTTTGACCACCAGTATCTGAAAACTTCAACGGACTACTAGATAACTTAATGGAATAATCTAAAGCGAGCACCTCTCCCCTTCCAGAAAAAAATTATGTAGGCAGATATATTTTTTTAGGATATTCTTAATATATATTTTTTTCCTCAATGTTATCGTCCAAAAGATGCGGATATAATGTCAAAGGATCAAATTTTTGCCAAATATGTACGAGGTTTTCTTTTGAATAAAAATAATGCCGTCGTGCTAAGTTGACTCATAAACGAGTTGTACAACGATTCAATCTGATATATTGAGGAATATTATTTATTAAATCGGCGTTTTTCAAATTTTTAAGAGAGAGAGATATCGAGCTCCTGTTATATATAATGAAATATATAGTCATCCCTCTTGTCCTCAATGTTGTGTACTTCATAGTCATGATCGTAACCATAGTTACTCGACTTATAAATAATAGCATGAACACGTTGTAAGGTAATTACGCAGACGGAATAGCGTCTATTCGATAGATAGATCGGTGATCTATGATCAACAATCCGGTTAGCGACAGTTCCGGGTTCGAATCCCGGCCTGCAATCTGCAATATTAGGGTAGAACTATTTCTCTTAAGCACTCTTTCAATAAGCATCTTTTTCGCTTAATATAAATAGCACCATTATTTATTAAATACTTAAGCAATATTAGGATATAAATAAAACAACAAAATCTCAAAATTGTCTTCCAATTTATGCTCAAGTAATAAGCAATATAAATGTTCACTTGTTAATAATGCACGCCGCACTGCACATATGTTTGTACAGTATATGTTTGCACACAAATTTCTCTCTCTCTTAGGAATGGTTCTAAAGCCTAATATAGATCTGTGGGTAGCTTAATTGGCAAAATCTAAAGCGGTCGCCCGATGAAGCAGTTATCCAGGTCTGATTTCTTTTGTATCCCTCAATAGATGCAGTTTTGGCGTCAGCAGAGTAAATTTTTTGTAAAATATTTGAAAGAGTGTTTCTGTTTAATATAAAAATAATATAGTGTCAAGTGGATTTAGAAATGAGTTGTGCGATGGTTTAATCCAACACATCAAAGATTATTATTTGTTAAATCGGTATTCATATAGAATCTTTAAAAAAAAGAGATATCGTCACAGATACCGGCGACAGAACGCTAGAGTCTTTGCTTCTTCCAGTTATTGTATACTTTACAGACGTGGTTCTATTGTATTATCTCACCAATTTTATTTTGATTCTCCAAGCACTCCGGATATAATTTTATTTTGATTTATACAAAATAAAACGTGAACTGCACATTGTAGATTACGTACTCAGATGGAAGAGTGTCTGTCGAGGACGTATATATGTTGGTGATTGGGTCGGCGATTTAGAGCGACAATTCGGTCAATGGCAACTCCAGTTTCGATTACCAGCCTATTTAAATATTCTAGATAGTTTCAGATTCACTCTTGTAAAATAAAGATTACATTATAAAATAAAGATCGGAGACTAAACTAAAGTGTCTGTTTAAAAGCTTGGATAGATCGATAATCTGGTCAGCAAGATGACGGTATAATGATAGCAGCAAGATTAAAATTAAAATGTAATTAATGTTTTCTGATGTCTGACATTTAATAGATATTTCAATTATTTCGATATCATTTGTATGAATGGTCATAATGTTCGCCCTGATATGTTAGATCTTCTTGTCGTACATAAAGGATCATCCATAATGCGGTCGCAGATATGTCTTAAGATCGTAGCACTTGATCGACGAGTCGATCGTGTACCTGTTTCGTTCGCGTGAAACTGATATGAAAAGTTTTATTGGACTCGTCAATAAAACTTTTCATTTCTCCACAAATTAGAAAAATATACGAATGCACTATAGATGACCCTTAAGACTTTTAAATCATTCCGCCGGATGGTCTGAATGGATTAATCTAAATCAGTCGCCTGAAGAATTAGTTATCTAGGTCTATCATATATTCCTGTATCGCTAAGAAAGTGTAGATGTGTTGCGTGGAATCTGTTGCCATGCTTTTTTTTTCAAAGAGTTTCTCTTTCAGAGTAGGAATAAGAAACATCGCCGGCTCGAGTCGGGACGCCCATTTGTTGACAAGCGACGCGCAACGTTTCAGACCGGTGCTTCGAGAGGTATTATTCCGCGGTTGAACGTTTGAAAGACGAGGGAAGGGAAGGGAAAATCGGGGAAAAAAGAGGAGATCACAGCGAATTCCTGGCGGAATACGAAGGCGCCCCGCGATCCTTCGTTTGCGGAGCGTCGGAATATCCGGTCCAGATCCGCAGCAGCGGATCATTCTCGCGCGTAGGAGAGGCTGTAACGCGTCGGATGGAACGACCGCACGGGAAACGTCTAATTCGTTACGTACGACTCAGCTGTGCAAACATTAGCGCGACCGAAAGAGCTTCCGGAATGCCTGAGCATTTTCTTTGATGCCCGGCGGTGCAAAGTGACCGTTAAATTCGCGGCGCTCGATGAAAGTCCTCCGCTCGATCACTGACGGATATAATGCCAATTTGCACGAAGCGTGATACCGCGGTTATCTTCCCTTTATCGCTTATCGATCTCCAGATCCAACCACAACGCCTCCGGCGTGCGCTTTCGCGGAAGCTGTTCTGATTGTCTTCAGGTTTTGTTGCCCTTTCGACGAATGTCAGGTTGCGATTAATACTTTTGTGAGGGAAAACACCAATTCTCTGGAAAACACTGGGAAAAAGCATGAGAAGGGAGGGATGGGGGAGAGGGGATGTCGTGCAACTGTCCATAAATGTCCTTCTTTAAATGTTAAATGTCGATTGAAATTTCATTCGAGAATTGGAGCATTCGACAGCCGCGCCACTCGAATTCGAGTGGCTTCTCGCCCGTGCGGAGTGAATTCTTTCTCTGAATCATCGAATGAATATTTTCAGTCGAGATTTTGAAGAGTAGATCCGACGCGGTCTGCCCGATCTCACGGCAGCAAAATCAGAGTTTAGCCGCCCGATAGACGCGGCATCCGACAGGTACAGTTTCGTATTTCAAAATTCCAATATTTTTTTGATATTCACAGAATGAGGCTAGTTCCCATCATGTCCCCTCCTCTCTATCTCGATCGCCTCCGCAGTTTCTGACAATCATTAGTATTTTGTTATTGCAGCCAAGAACCTGATAGTTTATTTCATTAATGGGTCCAACAAAGCGAAAAGCATCACTTTCATTACTACATATGCACGTGAAAACATTTTGTATACATTAAGCATTGTAGGCACGAACATTTCGTAATTATATTTCCGAGGAAAATTCACTTGTACTCCTGAGATGCGTTCGCGACCATTTGCATTACAAAATAGGTGCGCCTGTCTGAGGGCTAATCGACTGAAACATTCGCTCGTACGAACAGAGAGAATTCACCTTGAGATTGAGTTCCGGAATCACTCTGCGGCTGTTCTCGACGCAGTACAGGTTAATTTGCAACTTCTTTCACGACCGTCACATTACCTCTGACACATATACTGGCAATACATCCTTGAAGCAACGAGGGCGACCTTAGACCCCTCGCGAGACGCCAGACGGTCGTCCGCTCGTCTCGGGGATTGAATAAAGCGTACGACGCTCGTGAGAGCGGGCTAATGAGTTATTAATTGACGATTAATCGAGCGGCTAATTAATAACGCGACGAACGGCGAGGGCCGATTGGAGCGCGAGCGGTTCATCAAACAGACCTCGTTAGATCGAGGGTCGAGAGCCGCTCTTCCTCCCGCGCGAGAAGGAAGCTTCTGCCAAAAAGTGAGTTAAGAAAGAGAGTTTTACCCTATTAAAATCTCTTTTTCTCTGTTGGGCGCGTTGCGTCGCCGAACGCAAATGCGTGCGACACAAAGTGCATTTGCTTTCTAAGCGCGGTTCAGCGAGCCCGCGGCTGTGTGTGGGCCTTATTAAGGAATCCCTTTGATCACACGGCGATTAAACGACTGACAGAAAGGCAACAGCCGGAAAGAGGAAACAGCCGGGGCGAACCTTTGCCTTTGTGCGCGACGGCGAAGGAGCGCGAAAAACTCACGGCCGCACGCGCGCATTCGCGTTATCGCGCGCAAACTTTTCTCAATGAGCCGCGGGAATCGAGCTGATCGCCGTAGAAGTCGAACTTCCACGTGCTCAACGCCGCGCGTCGTTTGTTTAACGATTATGTAGTCGCGTGCGCGCGCGGACGCGACCGTCACGCTACGGTTATAAACTGTGGATATAGCCATTTCTCTTTCCTCTTCCTTCTTTTTCTTCGTCTTCCCTTTTCTCTCTTGGTACGATCGCCTATCTCGCTCCACTTTCGGGAAATTTAGTTTATTCGTGAGCATTCCTTGGCGCGTGCGCTTCAGACACGACGAGTGAGTGCGGCTCGCACGAGCGTTCATGTAATTCACGAGTACGTAAACGTATGTGTATATGTGTGCATTCCGCTCGAAACAGTCTTACGTGAAGAATGAATACTTGTGAAAATGGAAACAAAGCAAAAATAAAAATAAAGTGCAGAACGCGTTTTATACGGCTCATGCCGCTTACTGTGACTGACACTGAAATCTGGAGCCGTTATGGGCGAGGCTCAAACCCGAATTTCTGCGAAATCGTCCGAATTAGAACGAGAAAATTGGAAATGTGCGAGGCAGGTGTATAAACAAAAGAAGAATGCTAAAGTGAGTTATCTCCTTTTAGACGTTCAAATTTCGTTAGGTCTTTAATTTCAGTCTTTAAGCAAAATATCAGGAACTTTCAGTTAATTTTTTCACGTGCCATTGTGGCTTACCACGACCTTCTATTTTTCACTTTCTTAAATTCTATTCCCTTATTCTATTTCTTTGTAATACGGGATGCGCGTACCGTCGCGAAAAGACATGCGAAGCTTGCGGTTGCTTTTTCGGGCAGTTTCACGCGACCAGCGCGATGCGGAATTCATTACGGGGCCAATTTAGGGGCCGTGTCGTTATGCCGGAACAAACAGCTTCCGCAGGATCGCAGACGAGCCTGTGCACTGTACGTACGTACGGTTCCTGATTTGGCGTTATGTTAATATCTCCGTAGGTTAGGTCGGGGCGCGCTTATTGTTTGCCTTTGATCGGTTATCTGCTTAATTGGCTTTCGATTTAGACCGGCCCTCAGGCTCGAGCGAGTAATATTCGATGAGGTCTCTCCGATGCTTCGCATGCGTGTGTCGGCAAAAATAGGCGACAAAGGGATTACGAGGTGGATGCTCGTTTCGAGCGCGAACACTTGGCGCTTGCACGCGCGTAGCGACTCGTACACTAAGGAGAAATATCTCAACATTTATATGTGGAATATAAAGTTTATTTCAGCGAAATAAAGTTTATTTTTGTGGAGTAAAATCTATTTCTGTGAACGAACTTGGCGTTCCGCAAACAAATGTTCACCTGTTTTTTCCCCAGAGTATTGTCTGAATTTGTTGAAGCGAAATCTCAAAATGAGTGAAAGCTCACTCGAAGCGACGGTGAAAACACCATCGTTGGTGCTTGCTGCTAAGGTTCTTTATGTGTGCCATGATCCTTTTCTCAAGTCGATTCTTACTTATCTCGTCGATTTAAAAGTTCGCCTTTACACAGGAACATCAACTGAGAGAAACGAAATACTTGGAAATTTATTTGTAGGATATAAAGTTGATTTCTGAGAAATAAAGTTTATTTCTGTCGAGTAAAATCTATTTCTGTGAAAATAAACTTGGCGTCCCATAAACGAATGTTCAGATATTCTTTCCCCAATGTATTGTCTGAATTTCTTGGAGCGAAATCTCAAAATGAATGAAAGCTCACTCGAAACAACGGTGAAAACATCATCATTCGTTGGCACTTGCTGCTGAGATTATTTATGTGTGCCAAGTTTCTTTTCTCAAGTCGATTTTTACTTATCTCGTCGATTTAAAAGTTTGTCCTCGCACGGGAAAATACACTGAGAGAAAAAAATATTTGAAAATTTATTTGTAGGATATAAAGTTTATTTCTGTGAGTAAAGTAAATTTTCAAGCACTTTTCTTTCTCAGTGCGGTTCTGTCCTAAGATCGTATCTCATCGAATGCGAGATACTATTCTCGACTAATTAATATCGTAATGGGATCTCAACATCTGCGAATGAAATAAATGCTCCGAGTCCTCGACTCGACTCGTTACTGTCCGCCGCCCAAGCTCTCGCAGCGTACGCGTCAGACAGCGCGAATCTTTTACTCCTTTTCTCTCTCTCTCGCTTTGTAAGAAAAGAAAATTGTTAAAGTTTCCGCGAATACGTAAAATACGTCTGCGTTTTTCGCCAGTGGCGCAGCCATTCTCGCGTCAAAAAAGTTCTTATGATAATCGAGAGGAAAAGTTTGGCGTTCTCTCTCTCTCTCTCTATTTCTCTCTCTTTCGCTTTTCCTCTTTTTCTCCACGTCAAACGGCTCGCGGTGATCAGCTTCGAGAGCTTCCGCGCGTCGGACAACTTTTGAATTTCAATCGCGAAATACGCACGTACTTTATACTGATCACTTTGTGCTTTCTGTTTCAGATCTCCTCGATTACCAGCTTCTGCCGGGTGAGTGTGCGATTTTTATTACATCGATACTCTGTGCTATCCCTCCATCCTCACTCCACCTTCGCGTTCGCTCGTTTGCTCGCCAAAATAATATAAAACCTCGCCATGCGCTCGCGCGCGCACACCAACGAGAGAACAGAGCGTGAGAGGGTACATCGTTTCAGTTCGATTTGCAATATCAGTTAATTACGAGTTTTCTCGCGGTGAATGCTCGCGCGGTGAATTGTTTAGCGCTCGCGTTCACGCGAATTTTATATTTGCTAGCTCTACGTTTCAACGTCGGGGTGAGCTCTTGCTTTCCTTTTTCTCCTCTTTTCTTTCACTCACTTGACAGTTCATAGACTCGTCGAGGTTCCGAGTATTTTCGAGTGTTGCGTCCTTTTGTTCCTCAAATCATCGATTTTTCCCCTCTCTCTCTCCCTCTTCCCCTATTCCTATTGAATCTCCTCCCCCACAAGTGTCGCGAGGATTCAAAATTGAACTCTGCCTTGTAGTGATATCAAGGCTTTCTCAAAATGAGAGAGAGAGAGAGAGAAAGAGAGAGACTCTAGCCGTCCAACCCCTTATGTCCGTCGTCCTTTTATTGTTCCGCTCGTGTCCTGCAGGGACGAGCTGCCGTTGGAGGGTCTCTCTTTTCTCTCTATTCGAGTCTCGTTCTCTCGCGTCTCTACGTGAGTCTCGTTGTCTCTCACGCGGAGCTCTCGCGGCTGGAGGGGAGGGGGGTCCCGTGGGTGAATTTTTTATTGAAAGTATTTCCGCGAGAGCGCGCAGCATACGGAAATAGGTTGACAAATGTTTTTGTATTATTTATCCCAGGCTCAATGCCACTAAGCTGCGAGACACGCCGAGGGGTTTTGCTTTATAAATGACGTTATGCTCCGCGAGAGCCGCGCGTTCTACGGCGCACCCGTCCGCTGAACGATGACACAAAGACCCGACTCTCTGACGAAATTGCACGACGTTCGAAAGAAACGGAAATAAAAGAAAGAAAGAGAGAGGGGGAGAAGATGTGGAAGAAAATCGACGCAAACCCGATCGACGTCCGGGCAGCGTGCCCTCGACTCGCAATTAAAATTTCTCGCGTGTTTTTCTCGGCCGAATAAATCCCCCGCGATATTTTGCGGAACGAGCCAAACGCGCAACGAAAAAAGGAAGAGAGAAATACATAAAAACAAAAAAAAAATAAAAAAATAGGTGAAACAAAACGAGTTACGACGCGACTGCACGCATTTGGATGCAAACGCGGGCAAACCAAAAGCGCGGCCGTATTGTGTGCGGTTGGGGGTGGCGAGAGGGGCAAGAGCTCATAGCGGAATTAATTAGATCAGAATGCGAGAGCGGCTTTCGCCTTTGTCGCCGTGAGAGGAAACGGCCGCGTTGAACTGTACCTTCGGAAACGCGCGCGCGGGACGGTCTGTTTCGCGCGAATTCGATACGCGCGAGGAGCGTTTCGAGAGGAACGATGAGTTTTTGCGAGGATCCCCGGGCCGACGCGGGAATTACCGGGCACGCTTTTACATCCGTATCGAGGGAGAGGGAGAAAGAAAGAAAGAAAAATATCGTCAGCGATAACAGCGTGTTAAAACGCTCGTCGGAAACGGACAGTTCCCAGGACGTTTCGCGTGCAAAACCGTGGTGCGAAGAAGAAGCTGATGTATTTCATAAATTAGACACGCATTACCGCATTACGATTTCAGCGCGCGGGATCCGAATGCCGCTCCCGATGTCTCTGTGTATGTCGGGCGGGAATTAATTGCCTCGTGTACATATCGCGAGTGAAATAAAATATTCCAATTCCAACGGCGAATTCCGCCCGCCGCGCCTTAAAGAAACACACGAACGGTCCCGGAGTTGAGGTGGCGGGGAAAAAGTCGCGGCTGCCTGCGTCTCGCCTGCACTTGACTGCTTTCAGCGGGCGGGACACAGTCGGAAAAAGATTCTGAAATGCAAATGCGCGCGAAACCGATCGATTGCATAATTCACGTCGGCGCGGCCTGAAAATACCGACGTTATCGCGAATTTCTTGCGCCCGCGTGAACGTAAATTACTTCTTTCACTTATCGCTGACAATTCCTCGTTAGTTAGCGGACGTCATGTCGCGGCAGGGCGCGCCGAGAGAGCTTCGCTGAGAGAAATTATTCGATAAGGAATCAACAAACGGATATTTCCGATCAAAATACCGGTGAATTTCAATCCAATAAGGAAACATCCGATGAGAAATATCGGTTCATAATTTTTTTGATCGGTTTATCTGATGAAATGACATTACGATCGGAAATATTTGATTAAATTTAATTGGATATCCTGATCGGATATAAAAATGCATCACTATTTTGATCGAAAATATCCATTTGTTAATTTTTTATCGAATAATTGCTCTCAGTGCTTAAATATCTCTACACTGTGGGAAATGTCTGATGATACTAACCAGAATTCTATTTAAGTTTACCAAACGGTATGGTGAATAATCGTGTAACAAGATATTTAGTCAATGATACCAAACTATCTGGTGAGCGCATTGTCTAAGTAGCATTACAGTAATGCTTAAATACGTTTACCAAACCGTCTGATACAGCATACAATTTATTTGGTGAATGTTATGAATACAGTTGTGGAGTAGTGTTAGATTTCTTACCTAATCTAGAATCTAACCATATTATATATAATTTTCATATACTTACTGTATGTAATCTTCATATATTTACTTCTAAATTTGTCGACATATTTTAAGAAATCTCATTCTTCCAAATATTTGACGGTTTCAGCGTTTACTCTTTTATAGCACCGACGTCTTTACAAATTAGTATAGATGAAAAAGGAAACGTCGTAGCAAGTAACAATTAACTATCGCGTCAATAGTATCACATCTAGAAAGAAAGTCTAGAAAGTCTAGAAAGAATTATCAAACTGTCTAGACGTCTACAACTAAATGTCTCGGTTCTGACTACCAGATGCGTCGAGGCATTGTAATCAGAATATTGGATATGTGAACCAGATATCGCATATAAATTCACCATATTACTTTCATAAGACGAGTATAGTGTCATTCACCAAGCCATTTCTCTCAGTGTATACACTATAAGACCGGTGTTTAGGTTTTTAAATGCCTTTCTTCTCGCGCGTTTAATTATATGTCAGAGTCTTTAACTTAATTCTATTTAATATACTTAATTCTATTTTATATTATTTAATTTACTATATTCTATTTAGTATATTTTTATTTAATAAGTTTACTTAGAGCAGAATTGTAGTGACAAGCACGAGACTTGCATTGACGAGATTTCTCCAACGTGAAGAGTATTGCGCTTAGAATATTTTCCTCTCGGTTTTAGAGGAATCCTCTCGAGGCCGTGTACAAAATCCCCTAGAATTCAGAGGATCCCGCTAAGGACGAGATTACGTCTTTCCGAGCATGTGTTTCCTTCCAGCGATTTTTTTTACCGCCGCTCCATGAAATTCGCATTTCTCGGGTCATCTTCTCGATTTTCCCTTAACCTCTTGGTGTGACAACGCGCGTGCACGTGATGCAAGTCGCACAAGACGCGTGCGTGAGTTCCGCTCCGACACCAGTTTGAAAAACGCGATCTCCGCAGCAGCCGCGACCAGAATTGGCCGGCACGTTGCAGGGCCTTTCGTACAAAAGATGCCGCACACCTCTCACGGCCGCATTGACGCGACGCTATCGTCGCAGAAAGCGGGAATAAATCATTCATGATCCGTGGAGCAACGATCTCTCACACTGACTCCGTTTCGTCTGACGAGCGGGCGAGTGCGCGCGCGGAAGTTTTCGCATTTTCCGTCTTTTCACCCTCTCGATGTTTGAGCCGCGTTGAACCTGCTCCGGCGTTAGCCGCCGCGATGCTCCAGTAAATTCGATGATGACGTTCCTCCGCTTTTCCCGGAGCTTTTCCCAGAGATTCTTTTTCCTTGTTTTTCGCTCATTCCGCAACCGGCTTTTCAGCCGCCCCTAAGGGTGTCGGGTATAATTTACGATCTCGTTAAAAACATAGAAATCATTTATTTCCGTGGCACGACGTAATGTGGAAAAACGATCGGAACCGAGCGAACGAAACGGATAATAGGGTGGAAGGGGGAAGGAAAGGGAGGGGCGGAGAGGGATCGGCGGTCGTTTGCAGCCTTTAACATCGCGGATTGCTGTTTGTTTGCGCGCGATGAAAACGTCGAACTTTGCAACACGTGTTGCAGTTTAACCGCTCGGTTTTTCGGCGCGCCTAACGTCGAAAGTGATCGCCTCGCCCGGCGATCGACGGGCATATGGTTTTTTGTTCCTTTTTTTTATTCCGCACACATTGAAAAGGAAAATCGGGTGGGAGGAACCGAAGTCCCAGGACTCGCGCAGATTTTACCCGCCGCGCAAACTGCAATCGCGTAGAATTGAATCAAAATGGATCAATGAAAATCGGATCAACAGCCTGACGTGGGAATTTGCACGGCAACATTTTGTCAACAGCGAAAGGTTAACGAAACCGAAACGTACTCGCGTATATCAAATACACAGGGAGAATATTTTGGCTTTTTTTCTCGTAAATTCAACTTTACTGTGCGTCAGTAAGGTCTGCTTTGCCAAGGAACACAGCAATTCTCGCTACAAACACAGCCAACCTTTTAATAGCACATTTCAAGATATAAAAAATACACACGCACTGAAAAAGAACCATTTGAACACTGACTTGCGGAAAAACAAAAGCTGATATTTCGCAGGAATAAATTTCATTTCACATGAATAAACTTTGTGTCCCGCAAATAAATTCGCAAGTATCTTCCTCTTATTGTACGAGATGATAGTCGACTACTGCCGAATGTCGATCCGTTCCTCGGTTAGAAAATTCTGTAACAATGTTTACTATGAAGTCCTTCTCATGTAGACATTCCCTTGAGTGACACGAGATGGACTTAACTGCGCAATACGAATAATTCTATCTCTGGTCAAAAGACCCAATAAACCAGACGATAAATGCGACAGATAAAGTGCATTAGGC